TCACCAGTCATTTAGCTTTTATTTGATACCAAAATTACCAAAATATTCTACATATTTTGAAAGTTACAACCATGTGAGGAACTATTGTGTGTTAACTATGTACTACGTTCTGGTATGTGCTTTCTGACCGTGCCCGAATTAGTGGTGTTATACCGTTAGAGCGAAGAAGGCATACACCCCACCCCTTATTTAGATCGAAAAAAAGTAATTACAAAATCGTAATAAAAAAGCGATATTTTGCCAATTTGAACAATCACGCCTTCTTTCCTGAGTAGCTGTTGATGGTCTTTGTTAGCTGAATTGTTCCTGTATCGTTAAGAATCAAAGTTTAGGACCAAACTCACAAAAGACTCGACTTAATTTCATTTCATTGGTAAATTTAACGACACTGACGTTACCTTGAGGATTTTTTCCTTTAAATAATCAAAAATTATCTCATTATACTGCGGAAATTTATCCAAAGGAACATAGTGTAAATAAATCTAAAATTAACATCCTTTTCTTGTCAGTAATTCAGTGGTTGTCGTTTATTGTTTTGTCATTAATCAGGCCGTTGATTTAATTTGTTTCACATTTTGTGATGTCGGGGCTACTTATAGCTGATTTTACGCTATGGTTGTTGGTCATTGTTGAAGGTCGTACGGTGACCTATATTGCTTAACCCCGCTTCATTTTAACTTGGCTGGAAAGCTGTCTCATAGACAATTATATCACTTATCCTTATTTTACGTTTCGAGTTTTGAAAGTCATATTTGATATGATGAAAATAACAGAGCGTAACATTCTGTTTAAGATGGAAATATAAAAAGCTCTCGAAATATTAAACGATTAATGATAACGAGGCATGTCCCTCAGAGATAAAAGCTATGTTGAATTATAAAAGTCTTGTCAACTATTCACCAATTTTGTCTAGAAATTCGAATACGGAACAACTTTTCCATTAATGTAGTAATTAACCATTAAAAGTGTCTGCCACTAGGGGCGTGTTATTTTGTTCTTCGGTAGTGAGCCAGAAGAGGTCCATTTCTGTTTTTTTGCAATGGGAAGATCTTCTGGCTCTCTTCTCCCTCTTCCTTTTAAACAGGTAGTTTAGACGGCAGAGGCACATAACAAACATGGCGTCGCTTAGTCTAAATGACATTAATAAATCTATGAATGTAGATATAATAGAATGTGAGCTGTGTTATAAACGTTTTTATGGTATGGCAGCCCTAGTAGGACATCACTGTAGGGACAATAAGCTGGATAAATATAAGAACTACATGGATAATAACAGTGAGGGGACGACTATTTGATATTCTGGGGAGGGGGAGTGGGCAGGAGTATATTTTGTGGATTTATTATTCATTTTAATCTTCCGCTAATCATGCCTTTTTTTAGCTCTTACCTGGCCATCATATTCATTTTTAAAATCCTCTTGTCACCCACCCCAGCCCAAAAAAAAATATCAAATGGTTTACCCTTATTTAACATAAGTTTAAATTGATTGATTGTTGGTTGCTTATTTTTAACGTCCAGTGACAAATATTTCATGCTTAAAAGTCAGGTATATAATATGAAAATAAGGAGATGTAGTATGATTGCCAATGAGGCAACTATCCACCCAAGTTCAAATGAAGTGGATGTAAGCAATTATAGGCAACCGTAGTCGGCTATAAAAGGCCCCGACATGAAAAATGTGAAACAATTCAAACAAAAAAACTAACGGCCTAATTATATATAACAAAACAATTTACAAAAAATCAAATACGAGTCGACAGACAACCACTGAACTACAGGCTCCTGACTTAGGACAGACAAATAAAGAATATGGCAGGGTTAAACATGTTTGTGAGTGCTCAACCCTCCCCTAAGCTGGGACAGTGGTGTAACAGTACAACATAAGAACAAACTGTAAAAATCAGTTGCAATTAGATTAACCCAAAAGATCGGTACGAGACACAAAAAACAACTAATATTAAGACAATAGACACAAAGCACCGAAATAAGAGTATAGACAAGATGTCCTTTTTGAGCATATACCAGACAAACATTGACAAATTTTTGTACAGTTTAAGATTATTCCTGAAAATCAAATGGTCGGAGCATTAAGCCGGATTTGTTTACCAAAATTGAGTTAGGAAAGCATAAAGAAAAAATGTGACGAACACAACGATTTCTTCCAACTAATTTTCTTTGTTTTACACTTATTGTATAATTACATCAATGCCAAAACAGAGCACACTATTACAGTCATATCTACTGACTGAATTGACGTATCTTAATTTTTTAATCAATCATCGTTAACTTCATTTATGTCACCCAACACAAAAAAAAAATCTGCTATATTCGACGGCGAATTGAATTTTTGTTCTATTACTTCTTCTACAGAATATCTCCAGAAGAGGTCCAGATTCATTTTTTTGGACTCTTCACCAGAAGACATTCTGGAGATGTACACAAGAGACTAATAAAACACGCCCTAGCTTTCTTCGGTTTCTCTATTATTTTTCTAACCTGCACGATGGACAAGTCACTTTTCACAATGCATTTAGATGGTATATATATAAAAGATTTTATATGTATATATCATCTAAATGTATTACGAAAAGTGACTTGTCTACCATGGAGATTAAGATGAACTTTTTTGGAGTTATTTTATGATTTATGATATGTGGAGTAAGGGCATGACCCAAGGGGGCAAACCATTAGTTGCATCGAATAGTTCCTGGTCATGCTAAGCTATAACATACATAATTATATGTTATTCGGGATCTACACAGTGGATATTTGGTTATATTCCCTGTCAGTGTTTTATATCTCTTGAGCCGTTAGTCGGATATAGGGCAGTGTAAGGGAATATTAGTTACATGGTGTGCCAGTGACCTAATACGAAATATATGGGGTCAGTAAATTCCAAATGGACAACTATGTGTTTAGGGGGTTAGTAAATTTCATATGGGTTGAGAGCAAATAGAACACATATATATCGTTTTAGGTCATTAGCACACTGTGCAACCAATATTATCTTACCTCCTATACATTTCTAGGAATATCATAGGTCAAAAGCGACCGCGACCGCGTAATATGGAGTTAGTAGGCGTGGTTTTTTTAATACACGGTTGGTAGTGGTATTACGTCCCTTTATAAACAGCACGGCGTTGAGAAAAAATCTGAAACGTTTCACCCGGACAACAGACGAAGAAATTGGTGATGAACGATTGCAATAAATGCAGAAAACACATTAAAAGCTAACAAGTTGTTATTGTTAGCGTTTGTTTTTATATAGACCAATTGGTAAGATAAATTCGTTACACAGTGTTCCAGTGATATTTGAAGACTGGTCGATAGTTGTCTAATTGTCTATCATATAGCATCTCTTATGCTCATATAAAGGTCTGAGGTTAAATGCCCAGCCCCCTCCTCAGTATAAAGCTTTACTGTTTGGTTTTGATAAAGTGTATTCTTTCGTTTTCCTCTAGTATATGTTTGGAACACGTTTCGCTAGTTTCTTTGTATTATGTATCGAAATTTTAAATCCATGTAACCCATCGTGTTATTCGTTTTTCAGTGGTATTATTAATTTTGGTTATTTCCTGTATCAGAGTGAAATCTTAATATTGATAAATAAAAATCGTATTAAACAGAAAATGCATAACTAAGATACTTATGAATATAAAGTAAACAAGAATTATCATATTGCAACAGAATTTTATCACATCTCCTTATTTTATTTCAGACTTTTGTAATTCTTTTTATATTGTATTTCAATTATGCATATTTTATAAGAATTTTGAATGACATTCATTGAAAGTTCCAAATGAAAAATTACACGTTAAGCATAATTTTTTTAGGTTTACTGTTCATTTACAGTTTTGAAAATTGCCTTTTTGAAAGAGGGCGATGTTTTGTTTTCTGTATAACGTTGATTTTAGAAGTAAATGATCCGCAATTTTATTCGTTGACAGATGCAATGATTAATCTGCCACAATACCATACAAATACCATTTTTAAAGTTGATACGATTTTACATATCCCAAAATAAAGAGGTAGAACCAATTTTTACATGGTCAAAATGCGAAAGCTGTTCTAACCTACTGCAAATTAAATTTCCAAGACCCTCTAAATATATCACACATCACAGATTGTTCAACAACTGTACACATATCCATAAAACATAAAGTTGTTCAGTGCTATATATTGTTGTTGTTGAAGACCGAAATTATACAAAATTTAAGATTTTGCATGATTTTTTAAAAGGATTTTTCGCCCTTGCAATGTAAAATTTGGTTACGCGTTTATACCATTATTTTGTTAAAAAAAAAGAAGCTGCCATATTGTTAATTTTGGTTAAGACTGGAAAACTATATCCCTAGTGTGAAATGAGGATTTAGGGGAAATTGGCCGTACCTATTTGTAGTAGTTTATGTGACTAAAATAGCATGATAGAAAATAGTTGTTTTTTTCACATCCGTTATTACATCACGTGTGTTACGTGCTTTCAGTCTCTTAATTCTTCTTATCTCTCAGTGTTTATGTTTTAGGAAATATTTTATTGATGAATATATCTTTTCTATTCTTATTCATATAGAATGCAATGTTCTTTCTGCAGTAACAAACAAAAAACGGCAATTTTTGTAGGAATTCAGAATTTACGATAAACAGGGATAGAACCTTTATGTTCTGAAATATCGACACAGTTGTTGCATTTCTTAGGCTCGTCAGTATAGTGTTATTTCTGATATGCAATTAAATATATGCATTATGATAAAAGGATAAATTCTGTCTTAAGAAGCATTTATTTTACGAATAAATTTGCAAAATTTGTATGTAGTTTTGATAATAATTGTTCAGTTAACGTGCCCAGTAAGTTTATAAGAGCAACACATGTTTTCAAAAAACTAAAATTAACATTTCTGCATTGTGCAACTTAACGTTGGAAAGATTTCAGTCTTACTTAATCACCACACTTTCCACTGTGAATTTAAAGAAGGTAATTTAAACTTATATTTATTGTCAAACTATTACAGAAACGGACCATTGTTAAACTTACATATATGAAGGTATGCATAATTTACTAACTCATTAAAGCAACCACGAATTTGTTGAGGGATGGATGGATGGGTGCCAACTTATATGCATATTCAGGATGAGAACATGATAATGTGATATGAACTTAGACCGTTCTTTGTACTAGACCGACATGCTGAGTCGTATTTTATAACGTGCTAGTTCACAATGCGCAACTGGTCCAATAAAATTGGTATCGTTAATGTTAATACTATCGCAGGATCGATATTTCTGCTGGTGGAATGTAAGTCTCCGAGGGTTTCACCAGTTCAGTAGCCAGCATCTCGGTGAAAATACGGACATTGTGTTATTTAAGTTTACTGTTACAAATTTTTGAAACCTATTTTAAGTTTTAAGCTAAGGAATATATCTTCTTCATGCAAAGCTCTGATTGCTTGTCCGGATTTGGCTAACCTTTTTGTCTTTTTGTTTGTTTTTTAAGCTCATCTACTTTTTTTTTTTATTAGTTTTGGATTTTTTAATAATTGTTTTGCTTCCAGCATCATTGAAGAGACACTTATTGTCAAAATGCGTATCTAATGCAGTAAATTGGTACTGTTAATATTTTATAACCACGAAGTCGATAAGTCTGCTGGTGGACTGTAAGTCCCCGACGGTATCACCAACCTAGTAGCCGGTACTTCGGTGCTGGCAAGATAATACAGATATTGTTGAATTAAAGTTTACTGTTTGCAGAATTTGGAGACTATTTCAAATCAAGAAATATTTCTCCCCAATGCAAATCTCTGATTCCTTGTCCGGCCTTGTCTATCTTTTTTGGTTTATAAGGTCATCATTTTTTTGCATAAGTGTTGGATTTTCAAATATTGTGGCCTCGAGCATCATGATTGAAGAGACATTTTATGTCGAAGAAAGCTCTTTTGGTTCAGTAAAACAAATACTGTTATGTTATTCACAAGGTGACAATTCCGCAGGGAGACATACCACCCTACCCGAACACAATTTTCTGAATCCGAGCCTATCAGTCTCTGCTCTTACTTCAAAATAATCGATTTATCATTAAGCATTCTTTTTGCTTAACTTGCATTATACAGGATTCATGTTACTATGTATGATGCTCAGTAACATATCACCAGTTATTACTACATTACACTAGTATACGAAATGAGATATTAATGATTCTGTTCATTCGTGCGTTTACTCAGTGCTGATCGATATATGATTATTAGATAATTCCTGATTTGTTATAACTAATTTGACTTTTCAGCATTTCTTCTGTTCTGTTTTCTTAATATTGTATATGCATTGTGTATATTATTGCTCTTGTTGCACCCCAAGCTATCTGGGTAAGTAAATAAAGTTAAAATTATCTTAAAAAGCAATGTTATCGTTAAACAATCAATTGCATGGGTCTAGAACGTTCACTTAAAAAATAAAATAAAACATCTCACAAAACACATGTATATAAAGAGTATGTGAACATACACACTCGGAACACGGAGAGAGCCTAAAAATGTTTTAGAATAAGGGTATCCTTGTCTGTCTAATCAGAGTATATATCAGGGAGCTTATTCACAAAGCATCCGTTAACTAACTGATGTTTTTCCCCACGATTTTTATACATATGTTCTGTAGATTTAGTAATTAAATCATATATTGCCCGACAATTTTATTGTTTTTTTTTCTTATGTCTATAATTTGGAAGAAATCAAACATGCTTATATCACCTAATCTAGAATTAAATAAACAGGTCACATAAAAGTGTCTGGAATTTTTTACACAAGATTCACTGGGTTCATTTGAGATAATGAACAAGACAAATTATTTTCCTGTTTAAATATTTTATGAAGCAGAGAAAATTTCAAATAATTATTGATTACCTATATGTTAATTACATCTGTTATCCATTACTTATATGTAAAATGATTACATTACATCTTTTATCCATCCTCAGTCACAAATCTATACATAGACATTTAAACGTTAGATCTAGGAAGCAAAAAGCAATGCAAGGTGAATCCAACAAAAATACTTTTGTAGCTGCCTACATCTGGAATTCAATGAAAAACTTCATTGTGTCAGAAAAACTAATACAAAAATGTTGTATTCATATTTTAGTATCACATGAACTTACTAATAAATGTTTCTTTACTTCCTTTTTTTGTGAAATTATGTGGAGTTCCTTTTCCCTCTATATCCGCTTTTTCAATTGTAAATATTTCTTTTTCTTTTCATCAGCAATTTCCTGTAATAAAAAATCTTCATCAATAATAAATGGAATGGTAAATACATTGGGCAATCTCCAAAATATTTGTCTGCAAGAATTAATTATATACAACTTAAAAAAAGTTCAATCAATGAAATACTAATGTGAATATTTTTGTTTTTACAGGCCACAACTTTTACATTTTCTTCTCTTATGATATGAAACAACAGGTCAAAATAAAAGAATGGTGTGTTGTATATCTATAGTAAAATTATTTGGCTTTTGAATCACAACCAGGCCATGTAATTATCATACAATTTGAAAGACTGATCAATAGTCTTGGTTAAATATTGTCCTTAACCAAATATATTTGTTTGCACATCTTACCAATTTTCAGACAATTACCAAGAAAAATGGGATAAGTTTGCTAAACTGACTTACTGCTGTGCTTTTACTCAAACATTGTTGTCATATGCGACTGTCATACAAGTGAGAGGTTTAGCTAGCTATAAAACCAGGTTTAATCCAACATTTTCTACATAAGGAAATGCCTGTACCAAGTCAGGAATATGACAGTTGATTTTCATTCGTTAGATGTGTTTGAGCTTTTGATTTTGCCATTTTATAAAGGACTTTCCGTTTTGAATTCCCTTGGAGTTCTGTATTTTTGTTATTTTACTTTTTAAATATACTTATAAATTTGGCCGTTAGTTTTCTCAATTGAATTGTTTCATATTTTTCATGTCGGGGCCTTTTATAGCTGACTATACGGTATGGGTTTTTCTAATTGTTGAAGGCCGTATGGTTGCCTATAATTACTTACATCCACTTTATTTGAACTTTGGTGGATAGTTGTCTCATTGGCAATCATACCTCATCTCCTTATTTTCATATAAAACTCTGTTTTTGGACCCATACTACATAAATACACCATTTCTGGTCAAATTTGGCACTAAAAATATTACATGAAATCATCAATTATTTAATTGCATTTAAACGACAAGAACTAGCTATTTCTTTTGCCAGAACTTAAACGACAAAAACTAGCTATTTCCTTTGCCAGAACATAAACGACAAAAACTAGCTATTTTCTTTGCAAGAACATAAACGACAAGAACTAGCTATTTCTTTTGCCAGGACATAAACGACAAGAATTAGCTATTTCTTTTGTCAGAACATAAACGACAAGAACTAGCTATTTCTTTTGCCAGAACTTAAACGACAAGAACTAGCTATTTCTTTTGTCAGAACATAAACGACAAGAACTAGCTATTTCCTTTGCCAGAACATAAACGACAAGAACTAGATATTTCTTTTGTCAGAACATATTGTATTGTTGGTTTAATCTGTTATATTTGTCTTTCAAAATGACCCTTAGAACGGATTGCGTTCACATTTGCTTCACGAGCCTGTTGCCTGTTATGTCGCACTGTTTGTCCTGAGACTACTATAATCTATAATAGTTTCAGTTGTGTCATATTCCAAATATGTTAAGTGTTTATTTCATTAACTGAAAGCCTGATAAAAGTATCCAAAAATAAACAAACAAAACAAATAAATACCTATGAAATAAAAAAATTAAAAGCTGGCGTACCTTTATGATACTGCGAAGCCAGTTCATTTTAATGACTCCATTGGAAATAAGCGGGAACGCTTTCATGGGTTATCCTTGGAAGGATATCAACTTGAGGGTGCATTTTAGCATTACCGTACATGTATTTGTATTATTTCAAATTTTTATTACGCATATTTTCTTAAAAACTGTACTTGTATATATTTGATATCGATTCCTAAATCAATTTTACCTTTTAAGCACTCTAGCCATATCTTTTAGAAAGGTTAAACTTGTTTATTTGGGTTTTTAAAATTTTTTTTCGAGCGTATTGCATCTTCTTTGATGTGGTGATGCTAGTCGTATAGTCTTTTTGTAAAATTTCAAGATTTTTAAAACAAATTTCAGTTTTCTTTTTAGTTATTATACTACTGTATTTTAATATTTTTACCCAAAAAGTTTGTATTATTTAAAGTATTATTTTATTTGACCCCTTCCTCTTTAACTTTTCTGATTTTTTTTTTAAATACATAAAAAAAAATTGCACTGGGCGTTGAGCAAACAACAACTAGTTAATCTATGAGACATGTGTTCGTTACTGTGCAAAAAACAAATTTCGTATGAAAAGGAATTCATTTACTGCCGTATTTTGAAAATATGAAATTTCCGTGATGCGAAAACAGTCGAAACCTCCTTAGTTACACATTTTCATTAAAACATATAATTTATCAAAATGTAAGTTAAAAATCATGAGACAACAAGGCTGTTGATACCATCGCAGTGGTAAATCCTAGTGTCAAAATATTACCTCCTCTGTAAACACTGAAAACTTGATCTTTTCAATGGTTGTGTCTTTTTAGCAATGACGGTATTAATTATAAATTCACAAGAAAACTTTAAGGTAAATAGTAACAATAAAAATGAACTGAAATAAAATAAAAACATTAATGTAATCGTATCCCTTCTAACATAGCAAACGACGAGTACAGTATAATTTAGGAGCTTTGTGTTAAATTGGTTTAAAATGTTGCTATGCAAATAAATTCCTGGAGTACCCACTTCAATTTATTTTTCTATTGGCTGTATAAATCTCTGAAACACGCCAATTATCCGTATATGTATGCAGCTAAGAAGTTCATAGAATACGCGTAGATTTATTATAACAGCTCAAGATTCGAAAACGGTATACAGTAGACTGTAGTGAATATACGTTTATACTAGTATATCAAACAAAATGCCACTAAGGAAAAAAAATATTATGCAAACAGAAAGTC